TAACCAGCACGTCCTGCTCAAGGCCGTCAAGGCAGCCGGAGACTCCGCGCCAGCTAAATCTGGTATGTGCAGGGACACCAAGTGTCCTCCTTGCCCTGTCCCTTGGGATGGCTGGGACTGTCCTGAGGGATGGGTGTTACTGTCCCTTGGGCTTCTTATTTGTCCCGAGGGGATGGGAGTTACTGTCCTTTGGGCTTGGTACTATGTGAGCGGATGGGAGTTAACTGTCCCCTGGGCTTGTTGCTGTCCTGAGGGGATAGGAGAAGAAACTGCTCCTTTCTGTGTTTGTGTTCCTGAATTATCCCAGATCCTGTTTCCCTGGCTTTAGTTTTGTTAGGAACACGTTCAGATCAGAGTAGTTCTTAGTTAGATCTTACTTGTGCCATTGTCTGGTTAAAAGCTGCTCCCTGTGATCAGTGCCTTCCCCCAGAGTTACCTGTACCCTGTGGGCAGGTACTGCTCATGCCTGAGCAAATCAGAGGTGTTTCTCCTGGGATTTATGTGTTCTGAAGGGGCTGCTCATCCTGCACTGTGGCTTCCATGTCCTGTGCCAGAGATGCAGCTTCTCATCTGAAAGATCCCCCAGAGGTTTCCAGGAGTTGTGCTGCCGTAGAAATTAATGAAGTCACTGATCTGCTCGTGTTGATTCAGCAGGGCAGGAGCTCCTTTTCCAGCAGGTATCCTGAATCCTTGGTACTTACTTCCAGCCAGTTTTCCCTGAATTCTTTTTAGTGTAACTGATTGCCGTTGTAAGCTCCTGGTTCTATAGGCGTGTGTCACAGAATCATGGAATCACAGCTGGTTGGGGTTGGAAGGGGCCTTAAAACTCACCTCATTCCACCCCCTGCCATGGGCAGGGACACCTCCCACCAGCCCAGGTTGCTCCAACCCCCATGCAGCCTGGTCTGGACCCCTTCCAGGGATGGAGCAGCCACAGCTGCTCTGGGCAACCTGTGCCAGTGCCTCACCACCCTCACAGCCAGGAATTCCTTCCCAATATCCCATCTCTCCCTGCCCTCTGGCAGTGGAGCAGTAAATGTACAAGTGGGGAGAGAACAGATGGAAAGCAACACTGATTCCATAATTTCAGGGATTTAGTCAGAGCTGGAACAGCTAGTGTGAAGGAGAGAAGGGAGGGAAAGGGAGGAGAGGAAGAGGGAAACAGAGCTACCACAGCCTAGGGGAAGGAGTTGATTAGTGCAAGCCATTAATTAGAGTCAGAATTAATTTAGTTTGTGACTTAATCCCATGTGTTGTAGAGTTTCTTCTCTGAGGCCTGGGTCTTCAACAATGTTCCTTACTGGAGTGAGAGCCTGGGAATGCACATAAATTAAAGAGAGCAAAGGGAAGACCAGCTCATGTTAACTCCTGTCCCTTAGGAAGAGAAGGGACAGGAAGGCAGAGAGGATCCAGGAAGTCAGAATTAATTTAGTTTGTGACTTAATCCCATGTGTTGTAGAGTTTCTTCTCTGAGGCCTGGGTCTTCAACAATGTTCCTTACTGGAGTGAGAGCCTGGGAATGCACATAAATTAAAGAGAGCAAAGGGAAGACCAGCTCATGTTAACTCCTGTCCCTTAGGAAGAGAAGGGACAGGAAGGCAGAGAGGATCCAGGAAAGAAGCTCTTCAGCAGCAGGTTTTTTTTTCTGCTGTCCAAAGGAGAACATGGGTGTCACGGGTGTGTGAGGGGGGTCCCAGCAGTGGGATCTGCGTGGGTTGGCTGAGTGGTGACTTGGGAGGAGGACATGAAACTGTCTCCTGAATACTGAAAAGAGGAAGAGGAATTCCTGAGAGTGAGCTGCAGGAACAAAAGCTGCAAGAGTGGGTTAAAGTTTGGAAAGGACGTGTAAGGTATGAAGAGATTTTTCCTTACAGTGAGCTCTAACAGGAGCTAAAGCTGCCTGTGGAAGTAGGTGTTATCGAGACCATTCCTGGGTTGGATGTAGGTGGGAAATAACATGGAGTAACTGGGAAAGACTCGAGTCACATGTGACATGGCTGTTCCTTTATTTTGGGATAGTCTGATGGCTCCAAAAGGGTCTCCTGTGTTCAGCCCATTGGGCAGTGAGTGCTACAAGAACAAAGGAGTGTCCTGGAAGTGCACATCCCAGGGCTGCCAGGATTGGGACTGAGTCTTAAGGAACCTTTATTCTGTCCTAACAGGCATTGCCCTGTACATCCCTGTGTTCAATGTCTCCCTCTCCCAGCAGGTTGGGAAGGGAAGCAGTCAGACGGGCAGTCGAGCAGCCCTCAGAACTCCACCTCCAGCTCCTCTCCCTCTGTGAAGCTTGAGAACTCCTTGACAGGGTTGGGGAAGAAACCATTCCAGAGATCCGACAGGCTCCATGCAAGTAAGAGGTTTATTTTCCTGCTTACAGAGATTTGGTTGCTCCAGTGCCAGAACAAAAGCCTAAAATAGCAAAACTGAATAAAGTGTGCAATTAGTTGTGATTAATTCCATTGCAGAGGTGACTTCTGGGGAGCTCTGAAAGGTGCTGCTTGTCTGCTGAGTGAATTAGTATAAATAATTCAAAGCTCACATATGCAAATGAGCCTTTTTCATCCCTTATCATCAGGGCTTTCTCCTGGGAAATTGCAGCTGTTTGAGAGCACAAAAGGACCTGCATGTTTTATGGAGGATTTTTAATGTACTTACACATTTAATAACATTAAAAAGGGAAAAGAAATTCCTTCCCAGATCTTCATCCTTCAGACTCTGCTGTGGTTTGGCTTCCGGTCCCTTCGTTGGAGTCGGGGCTTGCTCAGCCCTCCTGACCTCTGTGGTGTCTTTTACCAAGAATGGAGTTGACCTCAGTGAACTTTAGGATATTCTTACAGAATCATGTAATATCCTGAGCTGGAAGGGACCCACAAGGATTATCCAGTCCAACTCCTGGCCCTGCACAGGACACCCCAACAATCCCACCCTGTGCCTGAGAGCATTGTCCAAACACTCCTTGAGCTCTGTCAGATCTGGGGCCGTGACCACTGTCCTGGGGAGCTGTTCTAGCACCCAAACACCTCTGGGAAAGAAACTTTTCCTGATACCCAACCTAACCCTCCCCTGAGACAGCTCCATGCCATTCCCTTGGGTGCTACTGTTGTATTCCATTTCCTTAGGATGCATCCACTGCCTGGCCACAGGGTTTGTAGCTTAGATTAAAAGTGCATTAAGAAAAGGAGCATTTGGACAGTGCTCTCAGGCAGAAGGTGGGATTGTTGTGTCCTGTGCAGGGCAGGAGTTGGACTGGATGATCCCTGTGTGTCCCTTCCCACTCAGGATGTTCCATGATTCTAGGCAAAGCTTCCTGCATTATTCCCCTGCAAATCTGCTGCACAGCCATGAAGCTGTGGTATGAGGGGTAGTGCTGAATGTGGTGGCTCTCAGACACAGCCAGGGAAGGAGAACAGTTACTCCTTGGGTTCCTGCTGTATCTGGTATTGGGGTTTGGGGTTTCCACATAAGCTCAATGAGCTGATGGATTTTTCTGGAATGCTTTTGCTGAGGACAAAGTAGGAAAGTCCAAGGAGAAATCCTGAGGAATAAGCTGACCTTAACCAGAGACTTAAAACAGAAAACTGATGTGGCTAAAAGGAGTTCTAGAAACCCTCCTGAGATCTCTCCTTGCCAGGCCTCAGCCATCCAGGATCCCAGAAAGTGAGGGGAACTGACACAGGCTACAGTGTATTAGGTATGGAATGTTCTGTGCTGGGAAGGACCTCCCACACTTGGTTTTTAGCTGTATGTGAAAAAGTAAAATGCGTATTTTCAGCCATGGAATGGATTCCTGCAGTGCCACTTTGAAACTCTCAGGTGCAGTGGACTCCAGAGGAGCCTTTGACCCTCTCAGATAAGATATGACACATCTGTGTTGTTCTTCCAGGGCAGCTGAAGAGAACCAAGTGTGCAGAGATCGACGTGGAGACTCCTGACTCCATCCTGGTGAACACCAACCTGCGGGCGCTGATCAACAAACACACCTTCTCCGTGCTGCCTGCGGAGTGCCAGCAGCGCCTGCTGCTCCTGCTGCCAGAGGTGGACAGGCAGGTATGGCCCAGGGGCTGAGCTGGGATCCTGGGGGAGCAGCTCCAGGGGGATCCAGGGACAGGTTGGATGGGGCTTGGAGCAACCATCCCTGGAGGTATCCAGGGGACAACTGGACACGGCACTCAGTGCTCTGGTCTAGTTGACAAGGTGGTGATGGGTCACAGGTTGGACTCACTGGTCTTGGAGGTCTTTTCCAACCTCAATGACTCTGCAATTCTGAAAAATTAATTAGAATTTTACTGAAAGTAAGTTCTGACTAACGAATCATTGCCTGGCTCTGGAGAAGACAGGTTTTCCAGTTCAGTGTAGTAAATGTCCCAGAACATCCAACCTCAGGGGGTGATGCTGCTCTATCCAGTGTCAGCTTGTGCTGGAGTGACAGGAGAGGTGACAGCCTTGGCTGTGCTGGAATGGAAGGTCCCTGATCCATTGGGTTTCACTTGGCAGTGGCTCAGGCTTGGCTGTGGCAGCTGAAGCTTCTGGACAAGGGAAAGTGGCACTTTGTGACACAGCACAGGGAACAGGCAGCACTGTGTGTGCAGTACAGGATGATCTGGGAATTCTGCTCCTTGTTCTCCATCAACAGAGATCTGGACTAGAAAATAAGTCTCTGCTTTAGTCAGCCCTGTAATGGCTGCTCTGAACTTAAAACTGAAAAATCTCCAGCTAAATCATACATACAGAACTTTCTGTTGGGTCACTTCCATCACTTTAGTGACCAGCAGCACTGTGCTGCCTTGGGAAAAGCAATGCTCCTCAAATCCTGCTCTGCTGAGCATTGGTCTCCCAGTGGAACCAGATGTATCCCATGTTTGGACAGTTGGATTTTGCTTTTTATTTGGATTTATTATTTGAGCAAGAAGTGGAAGCACATCAGCTTTTGTGACTTACTGAATGATAGGTGTGTTTTTGTGTTTCTGGGAGAGAAATTCCACATCTACTTCTGTGGGATAAAGAGCAGAAGCAAACCTCAAGGTGGCTGTGATTTCCCTCCAGTCCCAGCCTCACACCTTGTCACTGTCCTCCTCTACCCCCTGACTGCGCTGTCTGGTGAACCCTACTTCAGAGACAGAATGGGATTTGAGTTTTTCCTGAAGTCCTTTCAAAGCTACTTTTCCCTGATGCCTTTCACATCCTTGTTTTCCCCCGTGGACCTTTTTGTGGCCCAGCAGGCAGCACAACTGGTGCCGTGCCAGGTCAGGCACAGCAAGTCTTCAGGGCGGTGCTGTTATTTCCTTGTGCTGCTCCTTTCCACCTGTACCATGTGCTGCTCATGGATGTTTGTGCAGCGACAGGACTGAGGGTTTGGCTGAGGTGAGGATGAGGAGGAGCCACCACAGCCTCCTGGGCACAGCCTGTGTTAGGCTGTTGGTTTTCTCCTTAGTGAGTTCCAGGCAAGTTCCAGAAAGGTCTGTGGCAGCACTGGGACTCTGCTCTGTGTTCAGGGACATTTTCCTCCCCAGCAGGTGACAGATGTGCTGTGTTGCAGGTCGGGGCAGACGGTGTGATGAAGCTGAGCGGCTCCGCACTCAACAACGAGTTCTTCACCTCAGCTGCCCAGGGCTGGAAGGAGAGGCTGTCAGAAGGTAAAGCCTCCCTAGACTCAGCCCTAGCTGTCTGTCACTAGGGCATGTTTGGGGAATGTCTAAAGGATATTTCATGGGGAAATTGAAACACTGCAGGTACTGCAGCATGTGGGAGCCGAGGCAAGCCCAGAACTGCGTGAGCTCAAGGTCCAAGGAGGCTGCAGTAGGAGTTCTCTGTTGAACTTAGGGCATGGAACAGGGCAAGTCTCTGGAAGAGATGGGAAAAGAAGGAAAACTCTAAAATCTTCTGATACGAGCTGTGGCATTCTGGAGTTGTAGTAGCTAAATACAGACACTGCTGAGTTCAGGAGCGCAGAGAATTCTGTTCCCAGAATGTACTTGTCATCAGCCGTGGCTGGTGTGATCAGTCCTTTGAGCCATCAGTTTTGATATTTGTATTGGATATTGGGAAGAAATTCTTCCCTGTGAGGGTGCTGAGGCACTGGCACAGGTTGCTCAGAGAAGCTGTGGCTGCTCCATGCCTGGGAGTGTTCCAGGCCAGGTTGGATGGGGCTTGGAGCAACCTGGTCTAGTGGAAGGTGTCCCTGCCCATGGCAGCAGTAAAACGAGATGAGCTTTAAGGTCCCTTCCAGCGCAAATTATTCTGGGATTCCATGATCCTGTATAACAGACTCAGCCATTTACCAATCTGTAGGTCTTTTGTGCCTTCAGTAGTCATTTCTCCCACAGACCTTCTTGGTTCAGAGCTGCCTTCAGGAGGGCTCAGAGTGGCACTGGGGAACATTTCTGGCCAGCCACCATACACCTGTGTGTGACTGTGTCCCTCAGGGGTGTGAGGGGGTTTCTTTCCCATCTGCCTGTGACAGAACAGCATTGTTGGCAGGAGAGCCACTGCTGCTCTGAGGTGCCCCAGGGCTGCGAGTGTGAGGGCACCTGGGGGTGCCTGAGCCATCCACCCATCTCTCTTCTCTGAAGATATCTCTTTTGCATTCTGCAGGGGAGTTTACTCCAGAAATGCAGCTCCGAATCCGTCAGGAAATTGAAAAGGAGAAGAAGGTGGAGTTGTGGAAGGAACACTTTTTTGAGAGCTACTATGGCCAGAGGTAAGGACTCAGCTGTCTCCTGTACCTGTGCTCTGCCTGGCCAGGTGCACCTGGTGTGCATTTGTCCATCAATAAACACCACTTCTCATTAGTCCTGAATCTCAGAGCAGCTCTCTGGCTGCCTCAGGATTGAGAAATGCCTGAGGGATCCAAGTCAGGCACAAGGCTTGAATGTCCTTAGGCAAGATGTCTTCTGGACTTTACACCTTTTCCCACTCCTTGCTACAATCCTTGGAGCCCCTGACATGGTTCTCCTGGTGGTGGGACTCTGGAGATCCTGGGGCTGTGGTGGCTGAGTGTGTTCTGCCTCACAGCCAGTCACCTGTGTATTCCCACTTCTTCAATCCCACACTATGTGGTCAAACTCCCAACTCTGCGAGTGTTTTATTCTGTGTTGCCTCTTGGTTCAAGATTTTCCCAACCTTTGGGGCCACAGAGAGGATTTCATGTTTCTGAGTGAGTTCCTTGTGGAAGAACCAACAGCACAGAAGGTTCCCCAAGGTCACAGCACAGGATTCAACGTGTGAGGCATTTATTTAGGGAATTTATCTGGAGAATCCTCCCTGTTTCCCTAAGGATAGTATGGTCTGGTTAAGAACGTTTTACAAACTCAAACCTCTGTTTTTATTGCCAGTTCTGGCCTGAGCCCTGAGGAGTCCCAGAGGCTGACGGCACAGCCTGGCCCTGCTGAGGCAGAGCCTGCGCCGGCGACAGCGGCACAGCCCCGGAGCACCTCGGCCCCACGCAGGGAGCAGAGCACCTCTCCCCCCGAGTCCAAAGCACAAGCAGCCCAGGAAGCACCAGCAGTGAGAAAAGGAGGAGAGGAGGGACGAGAGGACACGCAGCCAAAGCCAGCCAAGCCCGCCGAGGCTGCAGCTCCCCCGGACAGGAGTGCAGTGAAGCCTGGTGACCGTTCACTCCCTGTCAGAGAGAGAGTCCAAGGAGAATCCATTCAGGAGAAACCCCAAACTGCTGCCAGCCAGAAGCCA